TGTGGAGAAGAGAGGGGGGGTCAGTGCTGGATGTGGAGAAGAGAGGGGGGGTCAGTGCTGGATGTGGAGAAGAGAGGGGGGGTCAGTGCTGGATGTGGAGAAGAGAGGGGGGGTCAGTGCTGGATGTGGAGAAGAGAGGGGGGGGTCAGTGCTGGATGTGGAGAAGAGAGGGGGGGTCAGTGCTGGATGTGGAGAAGAGAGGGGGGGTCAGTGCTGGATGTGGAGAAGAGAGGGGGGGTCAGTGCTGGATGTGGACTCTCACAGCTGGAGAAGAGAGGGGAGTGCTGCTGGGCTCTGATTCATCAGAGTCAGACACTCAGAATGTAAGGAAGGCTCTCATTTATTAAACAGTGGGTGTTTGGTATTAAGTCAAATAAGTTCCAAAAGGAGTTATTCTGAATGTTCCAAATGAGAAATGAATGTTTGACATTTATTTTGAGACATTACTTTGTTGTTGTTTTATACAGTATGTTCAGACATACCATGTTGTTATTGGATAAAGTACAAGCCCGGGCCGTACACACAAGAACACACACACTGGCAGGCCTTTATGTTCAACTTTAAAATGAATGGTGTCATTATATAATGTTTATTGAAATACCTTCAGCGTCTTTTCTTTTTGGGTGTATTACCTGCTTCTCCAGCAGACAGGCGGCGGGGGGCAGCGGTTTAAAGCCAACCAGTGGCAGCGCCAGATATTTTCTTTTGGGGGTGCTGTGGGGTAGCTTGACGTTTCATAGAGGGTGCTCAAACATGTAGGGTTTCCCATTAAGGTACCGGGCGCTACAGTGGAATGTTCTACTGCAACACTCCCCACACGCACAGTATACCCGCGACTGTTACAATGAAGGCTCGATAATCAGCTCACGGCATATAGGTGTAAGCAGGGGTAAAGTGCTATTTCTTTATAAGTGGGGGGTGGACCTAACATCCTCTAGGGGGGTCCGGGGGCATGCCCCCCCAGGGAGATTTCTTTTAAAATGTTGAAGTTAAAAGCATCAATCTGGTGCACTTTGAGAGCAAAATTAAGAGATCTATGGATACATCTCTCAACACCCATATGAAACAGAACTGTAAACAGATGTACTTTTTCTTTATGGATATTTTACTAATCACTTTTAAACTGTAGTCTTGTTTTACAGTCATATTGTATTTCATACCTGTTTTTCATTTATGCTTATTTTTTTATACCTATAATGATCATATAAACGTGTGCCTCAGAAATACTTATTTACATTAATCGTGACCAAACCGTTTTGAGACCCACTGAGATAACTTAGACTAAAGTTAACTATCTAAACACTGAGAGAGTCCTTTACTTCACCTGAGCTGAGGTTATCTTATCAGTCTGACAGGAGAGTTCTCCCTCCACCTTGTTGTTAGCTCCTTATATCCGTTAGCGTAGCTAGCACCAGATGCTAACCACAACGATCTCCGGTACCATTGTGCGCTCTCTCTCGCTCGCACACGCATGCACACAAAATGGCTCGTGCCACACACACAGAGCAGAGCTTGAATGAAACAGAGACCCAGAAGTAGGCTACTTGTACTGTACTGTAGCATATTATTTTCGAATCAATCCTTTTTCAAATTATGAATTTCACACATAAAAAAAAAGAATGACATACATTTCTTGGGGGTGCTATGGTTATCCTGGGGGGTGCTTCAGCACCCCCTAGCGCCGCCCTGGCGCCACCACTGAAGCCACCAATTAGGTAAAATGGTGTTTCTGACAAATGTTACGTCAATTAAAAAATGGTTATGCTTGCCAGGCAGGCACGTGCACACATATAAATCAAAGTGGGCTTGAGCCCCTGCCCTTTTTCTTCCTCCAGAGAAAGTGCCCTTTTTTTCCCCCTTTAATTTTTTTTAAATAAATGAATATATATCTACTGCTGTTTGGGCAGTTTCCCTTTCCAAAAATATATTGATTGAATACAAAATAAAAAGATCAGGTCGGGAGATTAGACTGTGAAGTTCCGATGCTCCCTCCCTCCAGGTCTCCTGCACAGCGGTGCGGACATCGGCAGTCACTTGACAGACAGGTAGCAGCACCTGAAGGTTGAAGGTTTGAAGGTGAGTGGTGATGAACAAATGACTAAGCTGCCAGTGCCTCGATTTTACAGCTAATTAGCCAAAAGACAAAAACAAGTAGGCCTAACTAAGGTAGGCTACTAGCTAATGGATAAGTTAGCTCAAGGTTTAGCTAAGGTAATTTATCATGGGCATACAAGCTAATGAACTGTACTTAAAGGTGGGGTAGGTAATTTTGGAGAAACCAGCTCGAGTGCGCTAAAATTTGAAAATACACAGCCGGAACAAATCTGCCACTTCCTTACAGAGCCCCTCCTCCAACACACACGAACGCGCACATGACCAATGAGGGCACGAGATAAGTGTGTGCACAGATGGAAGGCTGACAGGCAGGTAGGCCATCCAGTTATTTTAGCCGGGCCGGCTAAAATGATTGGTCGTGCTTTTTACAGTACTACGGCTTCCACAGAATTTTTTTTATGGATTTTTTGTCAAAGCACTTAAAGGTGGGGTAGGTAAGTTTGAGAAACCTGCTCGAGATACACTTTTTGTTATATTCCATGGAATGCTCTTAACATCCGATAGCAATGAATATCTTAAGTGCTTTGACAAAAAATCCATAAAAAAATGTCATCTGTGGAAGCCGTAGTACTGTAAAAAGTACAACCAATCATTTTAGCCGGCCCGGCTAAAAGAACTGGATGGCCTACCTGCCTGTCAGCCTTCCATCGGGGCACAAACTTATCTCGTGCCCTCATTGGTCATGTGCGCGTTCGTGTGTGTTGGAGGAGGGGCTCTATAAGGAAGTGGGAGATTTTCTCCGGTTGTGTATTTTCAAATTCTAGCGATCTCGAGCCGGTTTCTCAAACTTACCTACCCCACCTTTAAGATATTCATTGCTATCGGGATGTTAAGAGCATTCCATGGAATATAACAAAAAGTGTATCTCGAGCCGGTTTCTCAAACTTACCTACCCTACCTTTAAGGGGAGACACTACAGGTGAATACAGTAAAATGTGTATCTAATAACGTCATCACAATCGCCACATTGATATGCAAATTAGGCGTTAACTAGGCCTAATTAAAATGCGCTAATTTGCATGCAGTTACCAAGGCATTGCAGGTGAAAAGGATTAAACAAAAAACAAACAAAAAAACACATCACCTCACAACTTCCCCAGATAGTTACTTACGTTAAGTCAGCATTTTCCCCTGAAATGTTATGTTTAAATGCAGATTAGCTTTAAATCTATAGATGAATTCAGACATGGTAGTAAAACGAACACCATTTATTTGTGTTTTTGGAAGTTTTCTTTCCATTAGAGTGAAAGAAAACATGGAAGCAAAATAGACCAAAATAACAAAATGTACAAGTACACGAAAAATCGATCTTTTTATAAACAGTAACTTCATAATTTTGATTGTTGGCTGCTCATTTAATAACTATTAATTGTACTAGTTTGTTGTCTGCTCTTGTGCGTAGTGAATACTAAAGAAGTGTGAGGGTATTAAAATAAATTGGTCAGTAAGTCAGAGATGTGCAACTATATTTAACTTTTTGTTTTACATTTTTTTTTATAAATGATAATGGGAAGTGCCCTTTTTCTCACTTGAGCTCCTGCCCCCCAAAATGTCTGTGCCAGGGTTAGACATTTTAACCTGTTCCACTCTGAGCCTGTTTTTCAGGTCTCAGGCTCGAAAATGACATTCCCAGAACAAATGACCATATCTTCCCTTCTAAAAGGGTTAAATTAATAATCTTTTCTCAAAGTAATGATAAACCTGTGAGTTGGATGTAGAAGTGTCAGAATCAATATAAATGTTTTTTATTTTAAAGAAAATTCAGATTTTACATAGTAAAAAACTGTAAATTATAGTGTCCGTCCAAAAATTATTTTTTACAGATAGTGAAAACTACCCTTGGATGATGGGTTAGTAGACTAAAAGCTTTAGGAATCCAAAGTACAACATATAATAAGTACCCTGTATCAAGATTGATGCAAAACAAGTGAAATTTGACCTTTTTAGAGAGATTTAGCCAAAAACTGGGCCATCTGGGGTCATTTGGGTGGATTTGACCTATCTCTGGCCCCCCTTGCTCGATCTGGTTGGTTGACATACCCTTGTGACCGTTAGAGCCAATAGAATCGAAGGAGGAGACTCACATAGACACACATTATAAAGAAAAAATGTTGCCGCTTCGCGTGTGGAAAGCGAAACTAAACTGGAGGAATGTCTCCTTCTGGAGTTTGGAAACTAAAACGCAGTTGTATTGCTTATGGATTATCAGAAATAATTTCAAAGAAGGCACAGACACATAGGATGAACCTATGGATTAACTGCAGCATCGTTTTTTTATCGTTTTAATGCCATTGAAGACCACTTTTGACCAAGGTGAGCCATATTTACATGTTTAGCTTCTTGGCTCCACATGTGATGATGTACGCTTTCGTTGATAGCGTCGCGAATGTTTATCACTGAGTGTTGAGGTGGGCACCGTTAGATTCAGTGTCTCCAGGACACCAAAAAATAGTGTTTGGTTGTGCATCTAGGATAAGTAATAAGGGAGTTCTGAGTGAGTTTATGTGCCTTTGTCGGTCCCGTTTTTTCGATCGAGGCTAATTCAGAGGCTGAGTGCTAGCATTGTGGGTTTTTTTTGAAAAAAAAAATTAAAAAGATCAGTTAGCTGAGTTTCTTCCCGTTACATGGATATAACACATTCATAGTTTTATTCAATATTAAGATTCCTTAGACGTTGTTTCCTGCAAATGACGCGTTTATCCGCCCGGTACCGGGGGGAAGGCGTGAAACAGGTTAATCTGTCCTCTCTGTCGAGTTTTGTAAAAAGTTGAGAATTCTGTTTTAAACGTTTAGACAGACCAGGCAAAGCACGTTTATTTGTAGCGAACCCTTCAACAATGCAATACAAAGTGATGTACATGGGACAAGATATAAATGAGGCCATATAAAAAGACATGTAAATAGGCTTTTAATATTTAAAATTAAAGATGAAACAGAATAAGACATCAAACATTAGAGTAAACAAGACACTAAGTAGTGGTTAATAGAAAAAAAACTGTAAACCAGGTTTAAGAGCTAGCTAGGAATCGTTTGCAATCTCATGTTTTCAGAGAGACCCAGTACCCAGGTTCTGTAAATCATTTTTGACATTTTAAGGCATCAGGTTCCAACACAGCTCAGGTTCTCCTCTGATGATCTCACACACCCACAGCTGGATGTGTAATCTTTTATAAATGAAACTTCAAAAAAGTAAACCAATAAGGCCGATTATTTCCCCTTATAGTGTGGTAAAGCGATTCTTTGGTAAACGTTAGCTGACTGGACTTCCTGTGTGTCAGATGTTGGTGAGCACAGAGCTGCTCAGTATGGCAACAGTGAGGGTCCCCGGCAGGTCGTTGTCACGGCGATCGCCCTTGCCCCTCAGGTGGAGCGTCTGCTGGAAATGACCCTGCTCACCCGGCAGGGTCACCTGACCCAGGAAGGAGTCCATCAACACGTTGTGGTTGTAGATCTGAGGGAGAGTGAGAGGAATCCATGAGACCACAACACTCACAGTTCCCTCCAGCTGTGCTTTACTGCATACTACCCCATTTTTGAGGATTATTTTAATTATGGAACAAATACAGTGCTCTTGGTCAATCCAAAATGTTAATGAACCTCATACCTGAATATACAATAAAGCAGAGATGGAGTACTCGAGTCCTGGACTCGGACTCGAGTCGGACTCGAGTGCCGATTTTCGGGACTCGTGACTCGACTCGGACTCGCGCACTGATTGACGCGACTCGGACTTGGACTCGTGAATTCTCGCACACGATGACTTGGACTCGGACTCGGACTCGTGAATTATCGCGTACGCTGACTTGGACTCGGACTCGGACTCGTGCATTTTTCCCCCCACGATGACTCGGACTCGACTTGTACATTGACGCTCCGACTTGGACTCGGACTCGGACTCGAGCAAGTTTTCTATGGAGTCTGATGTCCTCTATCCTGGCGTGTGCACCGGTTGCGAGGCGAGTTCACGTACTGGGCCCCGCTATTCCAGTCTAAAGATGTCTAGAGACACACCCCGCATCGTGCTGTATGCTTTCACACATTCTGCTTCCACATTGGAAAAGAGCAGCGCAAAATGCTCTATGTGGAAACAATATTGAAGAGAAGGCTCCGTAACACATTACTCTAAACATCGAGTTCAGACATATAGGCTGTCTTGAACACTATCATCAGAGTAACGTGATCTAATCAATAAATAAAGATTCAGCCGATAACACGAAAGCACACGGCTACTTAACATGCAGAATGACGTCATTTTGCATGCTAAGTAGCCATGTGCTTTCTGGGGCTAAATCTTTATCAGTAAACCGATTTAACCGGTAAAAGTTCCTTCAAAATAAGAGTCCCGATCTTATTACTATCAAAATAAAAGTGCAAAACGAAAACTTTACCATAGGAAAATATTGGCATACAAATATAATCACTTCTCTAAAAGGTAACTCATTTTAAACATAGTTTATTTATATATAATAATAATAATAATATTAATATTAGTAATAAGCTTTATATTTGTATAGCACCTATTACAAGAATTGTAGCCAAACTGGCTTCACAGCAGTTCAATAGACAGATTAGTATAACATGACAGGATAAAAGCAATGTAGAGGAGCAGCTACATTTCAACACATATATCCACGAAGATTAATACATGAAGACTTGTGACTCGGACTTGACTTGGACTCTTCTTAGGTGACTCGGACTTGGACTCGGACTCGAACACAGGTAATGATGACTCGGACTCGGACTCGACTCGGACACTCCTTGGGTGACTCGGACTTGGACTCGGACTCGAACACAGGTAATGATGACTCGGACTCGGACTCGACTCGGACACTCCTTGGGTGACTCGGACTTGGACTCGGACTCGACTACGACTCTCCCTTGGTGACTCGGACTTGGACTCGGACTCGAAGAGTGGTGACTCGAGAGTGACTTGGACTCGTGAATTGGTGACTTGACTACAACACTGCAATAAAGTCAAAGTGAGGTTTTTTTCTTAGGAGAAAATCTATGTGTGCACAATTATTATGCAACTAAAGGAAAAACGAAAATGTTCCCATTTGACTGGTTTATTTTCATGTGTTTTAGTGAGAATAGTAAACAAACAACCAAAAATGTAAAAGAAATACCACGCAGTATACCAATATGGCCACCCTTCTCTTCAATAACAGTCACAATACTTCCATTGATGGAGTCTGTCAGTTTCTGGATCTGTTGACGATCAACCACAACCTCCCAGACTCTGTTCAGAGAGGAGTTTCCTTCACTGTAAATCTCCCTTTAAGAAGGGCCCACACGTTCTCTATATGGTTTAGGTCAGGTGAGGAAGGGTTTAGGTCAGGTGAGGAAGGGTTTAGGTCAGGTGAGGAAGGGTTTGGGTCAGGTGAGGAAGGGTTTGGGTCAGGTGAGGAAGGGTTTAGGTCAGGTGAGGAAGGGTTTGGGTCAGGTGAGGAAGGGTTTAGGTCAGGTGAGGAAGGGTTTAGGTCAGGTGAGGAAGGGTTTAGGTCAGGTGAGGAAGGGTTTGGGTCAGGTGAGGAAGGGTTTAGGTCAGGTGAGGAAGGGTTTAGGTCAGGTGAGGAAGGGTTTAGGTCAGGTGAGGAAGGGTTTGGGTCAGGTGAGGAAGGGTTTGGGTCAGGTGAGGAAGGGTTTAGGTCAGGTGAGGAAGGGTTTGGGTCAGGTGAGGAAGGGTTTAGGTCAGGTGAGGAAGGGTTTGGGTCAGGTGAGGAAGGGTTTAGGTCAGGTGAGGAAGGGTTTAGGTCAGGTGAGGAAGGGTTTAGGTCAGGTGAGGAAGGGTTAAGGTCAGGTGAGGAAGGGTTTAGGTCAGGTGAGGAAGGGTTTGGGTCAGGTGAGGAAGGGTTTAGGTCAGGTGAGGAAGGGTTTAGGTCAGGTGAGGAAGGGTTTGGGTCAGGTGAGGAAGGGTTTAGGTCAGGTGAGGAAGGGTTTAGGTCAGGTGAGGAAGGGTTTGGGTCAGGTGAGGAAGGGTTTAGGTCAGGTGAGGAAGGGTTTGGGTCAGGTGAGGAAGGGTTTGGGTCAGGTGAGGAAGGGTTTGGGTCAGGTGAGGAAGGGTTTGGGTCAGGCGAGGAAGGGTTTAGGTCAGGTGAGGAAGGGTTTGGGTCAGGTGAGGAAGGGTTTAGGTCAGGTGAGGAAGGGTTTAGGTCAGGTGAGGAAGGGTTTAGGTCAGGTGAGGAAGGGTTTAGGTCAGGTGAGGAAGGGTTTAGGTCAGGTGAGGAAGGGTTTAGGTCAGGTGAGGAAGGGTTTAGGTCAGGTGAGGTGAGGAAGGGTTTAGGTCAGGTGAGGAAGGGTTTAGGTCAGGTGAGGAAGGGTTTAGGTCAGGTGAGGAAGGGTTTAGGTTAGATGAGGAATGAGCGGTGTTGCGGAGAAACTCAGCGACGTAAAAGGCCGTGTGGGTCATAAGAAGGCACGTGAACGGTTACGTCATGACGCAATAATTCACCTTTGAACCTGCATCTGTAACAATGAGTGGACCAAAGAAAAGAAAAGTCGACAATGTTAATGAGGAGTGGACAGCTAAATATGTTTTCACCGAAGTGCGATATAAGGCTGTATGTCTTATTTGCCAAGAAACCGTTGCAGTTTTCAAAGAATACAATATCAGCCGCCACTTTTCCACCATCTGCTACTGGCCCGGCCCGTCTGTCAAATTTTAAAACTCATAGTGGCCCCGAGCCAAAAAGTTTGCCCACCCCTGAACTAGCTCATCTTGAATAAAACCAGCCCATACCAGCACCCACCTCCACCTTGCTGTCACTGAGTGGAAGTGGAGCTCTGGGCCCGGTACTGATCCAGCCACCCATCCATCTGGTCTGTCCAGAGTCACCCTCATCTCATCAGTCCAGAAAACCTTTAAAAAATCTGTCTTCAGATATTTCTTGGCCCTGTCTTGATCTCATGTGTCTTGTTCAGTGGGGGTTTCAGCCTTCCTTCCCTATGCCATGCCTCTGAACACCTGAGACTTCTGGGCCCTCAGGTAGGTCACAGTTCTGGAGTATGACCGCACTGGAGGATAATGGCTTCCTGGTGGCTTCCCGTTTGATTCTTCTCAGATCTTTGGCACTTCATTTGCGTCTTCTTTTCTCCATATGTTTCTTGCGACCCTGTTGACTATTTGCAACAAAACGTTTGATGGTTCTGTGATCACCAATATCTTAGCAATTTCAAGAGTGATGCATCCCTCTGAAAGACATTTTAAAATGTTTGAGGAAAAGAAGCTGCCTAATATTTATACACACCTTCATGTAGGGTGTTGATCTCCTTAGGCCACACCCTCCCTCATTACAGAAATACTCATCACCTGATATCCTTAGATCCAATACGCATTCAAGTTCATACAGCTTGGAGGTGGAAAATATGCATAAACATGATAACATGGTCAACATACTCACTTGCCAAATAATGTTGCACACAGTTCACATCTCAGAGGAAATATTGCTCTTTTAACTACCCTACATTTGTCTGACAGCTTTAGTCACCTTTATATTATTAACAAAAGTATATATCAACTAATACATCTCAATGTTAGATAAGCTACATAAAGTTTATAAAGTAATTCAAATGAGTTCCCCCTTTACCAGCTGCAACAATAAACTGAGTTACACAGTGACATAGTGTTGCTGTAAAGTGGTATAGCTACTTTTACTTAAATAAAACATCTGAGAAAATCCTGTAAGCCTTACTTGTACCCCTTTCACACCAACACAACTCCGGTTCAAGCTCCGTGCTAGAGCTTTTCAGGTTCAGAACCGGTACTTCGTTTTAGCTCCGGCTCTTTTCACACCACTCAGAGCCCGACTGGTGCTGCCGCTGCTGCGTCATGACGTCACCGTTTACATCGCTGATTTTCTCCCCAACGGAGCTCACAACAACAACAACAACGGGGGACTGCGTCGGGTCGATGATCGTGTTGCTTTTAATCATACGAAGCCAGATTAAATTAAATAACGACTTCTCCAACCTTATACTTTTCTCCAGAGTGCCGTGGTTCATTGTTTATTAATGTGTTTCAGCAGCATTTAGCGACCGCTGCAGTGCTGGCTGCTCTTCCACGGGAGTCTATTCTCCCGTTAGCTCCGGGTTAGCTCACACGGCTCTAAAGTATTCACTGTCTGACTGTCACACAAGCAGCTGATACATATCCCCAATTCCCCTTAAGTGAATGTGTGTCAGTCTGAATTGACGCTGTTTGGCATCACAACGCTGCTATGAAAGTTTCTCTGGTATAACATGGGTGATGTTAGCATAGCAACCGAAGCTAAACTGACTACTTGCTAAGCAGTTTTCTACAGGCACTTTTTACCGGCGTATTTTTCATTATGATTCTACTTGTGATAGTCGGACATGACAACCTGTGCAGCCCATGTATTGATTCCATCCGATAGCTGCTATAATAACAAACTAAACGTCTGCCTGCTCTCCACAATGATCAATAACAGCGAACGGATGGTCAAAGTAAGGTACAAATAAACAGAATCACACGAAGCCTGGTTAGTGTTGCCTGACTTTATAAAGTGTGTTTTTTTTAACAAGTGTGTGGTTGCGTTCTAGTCACTTTGCTCAGCACTACTGCTTGTTACAACTTTTATTTGCCGTACTCGCCTTAACTGTTAGCTCAGGTTAATCTCGCCCCCCTCCGACGTAAGCGTGACGTATGCGGTTCTTGCTTCTAGACGGACAACTTTTTGGTGCTCGAAACGAACCGGATTCCGGAGCTTAGAGGCGGCTCCGCTGCGGTGTGAACAGGAAAACCCGGTGCTTTTCAAGCTCCAGCTCCGAACCGGCCCTGAAACACCGTTGGTGTGAATGGGGTATTAGAGACCATCTATCACACACACACAGAGACGAACAGAGACGAACACAGACACACACACCTCGATGCTGATTGGCTGGTTGGATTTCTTCCTGTAGAACAGCCCCTTGGTGTCGAAGTCTGGGCTGCGTGTGTCTTTATGGACCGGAGAGCGAACCTTCTCTCCTTCACACCGAATGATCACGTAAGGGTCAGACGCTGCAGACACACACACACACACACACACACACACACACACACACACACACACACACACACACACACACACACACACACACACACACACACACACACACACACACACACACACACACACCTTTGTTATGTGCTACTGTATGTAAGATAAGGAAATTATGTTATGTCTTGAGCTGATTTTTGATCTTATCTTTTTTTATACTGTGCAGACACTTAAGTATCCATTGGACATGCATGGCAGCAGGAATAAGAACATGTCCTTGTATTGATCATTGAGGTGTCTAATATTTTAATTAAGAATGAAATATATAAATACAGGTCCTGCATCTGGCTGCTCTACTTTCAGCCGTAATGTGCTGCTATGATCCAGTCACTGAACCTACAAAGCTGCAGTGCCATCTACTGGCACAATACAACAGTGCTGGACACAGTATGCACATATTCTAAGTGCCTCAAAAACACTCCATGCACCTGCAAAATATGATGTATTGTTCATATTATTTCATAAGAAATTGCCAGAAAAAAATCTGAAATATATTAAAAGATGTTTCAAAAGGTTAAAAACAATTCTATAGTTCTACAATTTTGACAGAAAATCTCTATCCTCTTCTCCTCTCTGTCCTCCTCTCTGTCTCCCTCTCTGTCCTCCTCTCTGTCCTCCCTCTGTCCTCTCTCTGTCCTCTCTCTGTCTCCCTCTCTGTCCTCCTCTCTGTCCTCTCTCTGTCCTCTTCTCTGCGGCAGTGTCTGTAGGGGATTGGACTTAGGTCCAAAAAATACGGAGTGTGGACTGGTACTGGAGAGGAGCCAGTTCACCTCCTGGGCCACTGCCGAAGTGCCCTTGAGCAAGGCACCTAACCCCCAACTGCTCACTGGCGCCGGCTAGACTGGCTGCCTCTGCTCTGACCTCTCAACTGCATGTGCATGTATGTGTATTTGTATATGTATGTGCATGTTGTAAAAAGTGTGTACTGTGTGTACTGTATTACCTGTATAAAAACGCATGTGTGTGTACGACAGAGTGGAAACTGAATTTCCCCCTCGGGGGATTAATAAAGGTCCATCTTCTTGTCCTCTCTCTGTCCTCTCACTACTCGGAGGGTTCTTCAGTCTCCTCCAGCTCTCTGGTTGGCTGACACACTGTTTGAGTCCAGAACCATCCTAAGGGCTGCTGAGAGGAAATGGTGGAAATCCAAACACCTTGATGACCTCCATTCCAATCAAGCTCTCCTGTCCTCTTTCCCACACTACACCTCTCCTCCACTCCCTCCACTGGCTGCCAGTAGCTCCAAGAATCATCTTCAAGACCCTGATGCTGGCCCACCGAGCTGTGAAGGGAACAGCTCCTTCCTACATCCAGGCATTGGTCAAACCACACTCCAGCATGTGCACTTCGCTCTGCGTCAGCCAATCAGCTTGCTACTCCATGACTGCGAGTGGGACCCAGGTCCCCCTCAAAAACACGCCTGTTTGCTCTCCTGGCTCCTAAATGGTGGAATGAACCTATTGACATCAGGACAGCAGAAACTCTGCATATCTTCCGTCGCAAACTGAAAACGCATCTATTTCGACTGTAACTTGGTAATTAAGTCATTGTTGAGGGAAAAAACAAACATAAAAACACAAAGCCGTTGTTGAGTTAATTTAGGCCTTGTATCTGATTCACCAGCTCTTACTACAGTATGATTTAGTTTGAAGTGAATATATCTGCACTTTCCTTGTTGTTCGGAGTTTGATTCTTTATGGTTTTTGCATTTATTGTAAGTCGCTTTGGATAAAAGCGTCAGCTCAATGAAATGTAATATGAGTAATATGTAATATATGTGTAGAATGTGTGACTAATGTCAGGGAAATAGGATAAATCTGGCAGAAAAATATGTGAACATTGTTGAAAAATCGTCCAAAAAAGAAATGCCAGAAAAAGAGGTGAAAGATGTTGATGGTTTTAAAGTAAACACATTTTCTGTTGTACCTCCAGGGTAATTATTGAGTCATGAAAAAAGTAAACACCTACCTCCATCAGAGTCTTGTCCTGCGATTCCAGTGGCCTGCAGGATGTGGACCTGCGTGACCAGAGAGGGGTACCCACACAGCCCGGACCAGCAGGTCTGGGGGGGCTCGTGTAGAGTCAACTCTCTACAGGTGGGACACACACACACACACACACACACACACACACACACACACACACACACACACACACACACACACACAGAAAAACAAATACAAAAATTAAAACTACTTTGCCGGTCTGCTGAACAACAAACACTGAAACAGTCGCATCTAAAAGGACAAAAGCTGTCTTCAACCTGAAGCCAGAGGTTCCTACCTGCAGTCGGACGGCACGTCGGTGAAGGTGCGCAGCAGGAAGTCTCCCTCCAGCCCGGGGTCGAAGGTGGTGGGTATGATGACGTAGCGGCCCTCTTTCAGGTCGATGCGTATGAACACAGACCTGGAGTTAATGAAGGCACTGCCTCCAACCTTCTGCTGGGTCACATGCATACGGTAGGTCCTGTTCAGCTCCACCTGAACACACAGTCCAGAGCACACACACTTTGATAAAGGCTTAGCAGTATTTGGGTTAAGTATTGTATTCAAACTGGCAGATGGGGTTGAGCCATACACTGTATTCTAGGGATGTTAAGATTCACCGATTCGCATCGGTGCACCGGCATAAACGTTCAAGATGCGAGTGCACCGGTTGAAAGAGTGCACATCGGCTACAGTTTGGGTTGAACTCGCGATGCATCGATTGTAGCGTCTTTGCATCGGTAAAAAACCGATTCATTCATATAATATCCCCTCATCCTGTCAGCACTCAGCAGAGATGATCTTTGATCTTTGCTTCGCACTACGGAGGCCGAGAGTCTCAGTTCAACACACATGGAAGTCGAGGAGAAAGAGAAACACAGCGCACCGAAAAATACCTACAAATCAAACGTTTGGCAACACTTCGGATTTTTCAAGAAAAACGGACAACTTCACAAATCGCAAGCAAATTGTAAACGATGCCGTGCCGCTTTAAAGTACACAAGTAGTACGAGGAACTTAGCGACGCACATAAAGAGGCGACATGGGGTCTGCGGCTGAAAAGAGAAACCTGAAAGTTAGACATATGAGTTAAATCACTCATCACTCACTCAGTGAGGTGTTCTGTCAGAAAGAGTGGTGTTTAGTTTACAGCAGCCTGTGACTGCCAATAATAGTTTAAATGTCTTCCTTACAATTGTAAGCAGTTATGAAATACCTGTTTGTGAAAGGTCCAAGTGGTTTTTTTTTTAAGGTAAAAAAGAAACAGCATAATGCGCAGTACTAGCAGAGAGAACCAAATATGTGAAGCACTATTTGTTAATTTATGATTTGCTGCATATAAGGAATAAAACAAAATCCTCTGTCGTACCATATTGAAGTATCATTATTTTGCATCGTGTTGAATCACATCGTACCGCCCGAATCGCATAATGTTGAATCAAATTGTGTCGCAACAGGGGTGAATCGTATCGCACCGCCCGGTGCTTCTAATGTATCGTTAATGTATCGTATCGTTGGCAATGTATGGAGATGCACATCGCATCGGCCTCAGTGATGGAGATGCACATAGAATAGATTGTATTCATAATGGACGACACAAGCTTCACAGTGACGCCACCCACCAGTCATGGCAACTGATATCATTAAAACAGGTGGGTAAATAATAACCCCACAGTTGTCATAAATATAATTTTGCTATAGAGACCCAACACGGCTGCAGCATGTTAGCATTTTTATTTCTGCTGTTAAGTTATTTGAATAGGGGGGTCCTTGGATGAATGTCAATCTTTGACACACACTGTGAGCTTCATTGCTCAGCCCCGAGGTGCTGCTGGGATTGACCCCACCGTGCTCAACTATGATTGGCTGTGTGCCTCATCAGACCTTAAATCCAACCATCAAAAAAGCACAGCAGAGGATGTTCTTCCTGAGGCAGCTGAAGAAATTCAACCTGCCAAAGACGATGATGGTGAACTTCTACACCTCCATCATGGAGTCCATCCTCACCTCCTCCATCACCATCTGGTACGCTGCAGCTACAGCCAAGGATAAGGGCAGGCTGCAGCGTGTCATCCGCTCTGCAGAGAAGGTGATCGGCTGCAATCTGCCATCCCTCCATGACCTGCATGCCTCCAGGACCCTGAGGCGGGCAGGGAAGATAGTGGCCGACCCCTCCCACCCTGGACACGAACTGTTCGCCCCCCTCCCCTCTGGCAGGAGGCTGCGCTCCATCAGGACCAAAACCTCTCTTCACCTGAACAGTTTCTTCCCCTCCGCTACCGGCCTCTTAAACAAGGCCCGGCCCCCCCCCACTGACACTTTACCTCTGCCACATCATAGACTATATGCATTACATTAATGGACACAATGTTCCTACTCCTTTCTGCACATATTCTGATTTCACATTTCATAGTTTATATGCAAAAATTCACTCATAGCATTCTATTTCCATGTAAATTACTGCTTTATTTTATTTGTATTTTATTGCTATTTAACTGTATTTTATTACGGTGTAAAAGATTTTGTGTTTTATATTAGATTTCTTGTTTTTTATATTTTATGTATGCACCATGACATCAAGTCAAATTCCTAGTAATAACTAGCAATAAACCTGTTTCTGATTCTGATTCTGATTCTGATTCTGATATCACATATAGGTCAAACCAAGAAAATTACTCCTTAAGTACATTTTCCCAAAGATGTTTTCTTTCATATAGGTATTTGTATGTCAAGTGTTTAGTTTATGTCATTCAATATAACAGCCATGCAATTAAACCCCGCCCCCAAAAATCATGATATTCAGTTTAGTCCTGGAGGATTTTGAGATGACACACCCACACACACACACACACACACACACCCACACACACACACACACACACACACACCCACCCTGTGTAATTCGAAGCCGATGGCCATGTTTTCTCCGCGGCCCTCTCTCAGCGTGGCTCTGCGGTCTTTCTGCTGCAGACAGATCAGCACCTCGTCCTCCGGCTTCTTCACGTCAAACACATACTGCACCACAGAGAACAGACACACATAGAGTTCATCTATTTCAGAGTTTCACTAACACAATGCACACAGTCATGCATAATACCAAATCTGAGAACAGATGAACTGATAACAGGGAATAACACCTGTGGGTTCTGGAGGAAGGAGTGCTTGTTGTTGGTGCAGCCCCCCGCTCGGTTGATGAGCGGGTCGTCATGGCAGCGCCAGGAGCCCCGGATCACAGCCTCCTCCCAGGTCTTATGCAGACTCAGGTAGGACGTGTTGATGAGACGACACAGTATCAGGTCTGTGAAGTTAGCTATAAAGTCATCAAATGTCATCCTGAAGGAGAGGACAGAGAGAAGGGGGGGTAAGAATGTATTATTTATTTTTAGTAACATTAATTTACTGTGTTATCAGCGAGGAATTTATGATCAAATATATTTAGAAAAGAACATGTGAAATGACCGAAGTATTTTTCTATAACAGATGAACAGATTGTAAGCCTATGCCTGTGTGTGCCAGCAGGGGGCAGTGTAAACTCACCAGAACTCTCCATCATCCTGCACAGTGACGCCGATCTTCTCCCTCTCACTATTACTCACCTTCTTCCACTCTTCAGAGCTGCAAACACACACAAAAAAGCTTTATTTCTACTCTTATAACATAATATGGAAATCAAACCGATATGTGTAGAGTATTTTCACTGGGCAGAATTAAAGGGTCAGACAGTTTGTCGTCCAATAACAAGTTCAAACCGTAGCTTTTGAATCCTAAATGATTTACAAATGTGTAGAAAATATGTGTTTTTACCTGTCGCTCCAGGGTCCATTCCACTCTTTCTCTCCCCAGGGGTTTCTCATGCGGATCATGGTGAGTTTGTCTGACCTGAAGTAGGCCATAAGGCCGTGGCCCAGCCTCACCCTGCGCACATCTGTCACAGCGTAGGCGTGGCCCTTCACCAGGCCGCAGGACAGCTTGGCCTCCATGTCCGCTGCAGTAGTTGCCTGGAACAACAGTCAGTTAATCATTCCTAAATCAATGTATTCCCTCTTTCAGCCAGCGTGTGTTTGTGCGCTCCTCACCTTGATGGAGCAGCTGATGAGGCCTCCTCTGTCATGGACCTTCAGGACTCTCTCAAACAGCTCGCTGCGCTTCTCTTCATCTTCTTTAAACCCATTCTCTGTCAAGTCCATCGGCTCAGACACCCCGCCGGTAAAATCCACCAGAGCGTCAGCTGTGTTGCCCCCATCAAGCGCCTCGTAGCACCCACACATCCTTAATGACACACACAAGCTCAACACTTACACACACAACTTGTAATAATACATAGTATTCATGCTGATTCTATCCTGTTTCTCCAACCAAATGCACAAAATAGTTTTCTTTGTCAAAAAAACATCATACATTTAGAAAATAGTCTCTTTAAAGCCTAATCCATAACACACACTCCACATCAAGTGTTTGTCCCAACAATTTCCTTCGGGATAAATAAAGTCTTATCTTATCTTATCTTATCTTATCTACTGCTTTGAAATCAAAACTGCTCCACCAGCTGAACATTTGCTCAAAGAACGTTGTCAACCCTGTGAGAGACTCGATGAGTCAGCATACCATAATAACCTAGGGAGTCTGTCCAACATCATCTCTGACCCAAACCATGTTCTGAACAGTGAATATAAATTGTTGCAATGTAATCAGAGATGCAGGGTCCCGTGTTTTAATGAAGTCAAACTGAAGACCCCCGTTGTGCTTCAGTTAACCCTAACAGCAAATACAGAGTTAAAGGTCCCATGACATGCTTTTCCGGTTATTACCCGTCCCCTTGTGTGTTATGTAGCTTTGTCTGCATGTAAACGGTCTGCAGAGTCACAAACCCTCAAAGTACACCCTGTAGCGAGTACAACTCTAACACAGAAAATACCTGTCTGTGCTGCCCCAGAACGCCTCGTTGGACATTTTTCTTTTTCCATTTTTTTCCCCCTGAGTATAGTGACGTAACGCTGCGGAGCTCCGTACACACACACACACACACACACACACACACACACACACACACACACACACACACACACACACACACACACACACACACACACACACACACACACACACACACACACACACACACACACACACACACACACACACACACACACACACACACACACACACACACGCACGCACGCACGCACGCACGCACGCACGCACGCACACACACACACACACACTCACTCGGAGCTCAGGCTGTGAGTGTGTGTGTGTGCTCAGGCTGAGCTCCACGGTGTCTCGCAGACCCCACACAGCAACCAGGAAACGACACCAGTAACCCAGCTCACACTGTCCGCTCCTCGAGCCTCAAAGGGCGGGGCAGCGAGCCCCGCAACGTCCCGCCAACACGGCACCCAGACCCCACGCAGCATTCTCCTCTGTTTGTCATTACTGGTGTCATTTTCTGGTTGCTAACAAACGCCATTGTAACACATAAACACTGATGTTCCGCTGTAACGGTGGTGGACTCATCAGAACAGAGTGGGCGAGCTGACCAATCAGAGCACAGTGGGCTCATAGGGAGGGGGGCAGGAGCTCCAACAAGCCGTGTAGGACAGAGAGTGAATACACATACTATACAGAGATGCTGTATGAGAAACCAATGTGAGTTTGGAACATTGAACAATGTAAATCTATTCTAGTAGACCTCAACAATGGAATTATGATCAGTAGAAATGGCCATGACATGGGACCTTTATATCCCAGATCAAATTTACGATAAAGGGTTGACCCTTGAGTTTCTCTCAGTTATTGAGTTATATAAATCAAATGGATTATTATTATTATTATTATTTATTATTGTGATGTTATGTTAAATGTTAGTTTTTCTTGTATTGTGTCTTACAGCTCATCCAGAATGCAGCGGCTCGTCTGGTCTTCAACCTTCCTAAATGTTCCCACACCACACCGCTCCTCCGCTCCCTTCACTGGCTTCCAGTACCTGCTAGAATCCACTTCAAGACACTGGTACTTGCGTACCATGCTGTGAATGGATCTGGCCCTTCCTACATCCAGGACATGGTTAGACTGTACACCCCAGCACGTGCACTCCGCTCTGCATCAGCCAAACGGCTCGCTGCACCCTGCGAGGGGGACCCAAGTTCCCATCAGCAAAAACACGTGGGTTTGCTATCCTGGCTCCAAAATGGTGGAATGAGCTCCCCATTGAAATCAGGACAGCAGATAGCTTACACATCTTCCAGAGCAGACTGAAAACTCATGTCTTTCGACTCCACTTCAAGCAATAAAATTACTAACAAAGCACTTATATACTAACAAAGGACTGGTTTATCCAGTTGAGTAGCACTTGAAATGTTTTGGCTCTATGAAACCTGATGTACTTATATGATTCTGTTTTCTTCAAGTTTGTATCTTGTTGGTCGAATGCACTTATTGTAAGTCGCTTTGGATAAAAGCGTCAGCTAAATGCAATGTAATGTCATGTAACCATCTGTCCTTGTTAATGTTGGAGCTGCTGTGACGAAGGCCTGTTCGCAAAAGGCCTGTTAGCCAGTTCCTTGATTCCAGCGCCCTTGCTCAGACACTTTCCATTCTGAAAGTCAGCCTTCATTTCAATCTCAACTGCACATTTGTAACGTTTTGTGAGGGTATTGTGACAAAACCTGACCAGACACACAACCTGGTTATACTCTACACATAACAGTATATATTTATTCAATCCTTTCAATATTACAATTTATTTATTTTATCACTACTACACTACAACAGTATGATATTTTATATATTTTTAATACAAATTGTAGTTTATTCCTACTGTGATGGAAACTTCTGAAACAATGGAGACAGGACTCAGAGAGACACGGGGAGAGCTGAAACTTTGATGGCAAACACTGCAGGTTTTTTGGAGCTTCAGCCGGAGGATTCACAAGACAGGTGCTGAGACACGAGTTGACACAGCGGTTGCCAAACCAATTCTGAACATCTCTACCCTAGACCTATGTATTTAGTTCTGAGAGAATAATCAACATTGTGCATAACAAGATAAAGCACTATAACCTCTATCAGCTGACGCCAACAGGCAGGAACAGGGAGACAAAACACTGAGAGCACAGCACCAAAGGTTGCAGGCCTGCGACAATGAGGGCAGTACAAACTGATAAACTGGGTCAAAGGTATGGGCCTAGGAAAATATTTCCCCAACACCTACAGCTAATTTATGTAGTGTTATGTATTTGATTTGAATGGTTGTGACTTGCTGAAGTCTTACTTGGCGTAGGCCTTCTCCACCAGCGCGCTCCAGAATTCCCTGCTGTCGTTGGAGTGACAGTACACCAGTTCTCCGCTCACCGTGGGCAGCCGGTCGTCGATCACCACGTCCACCCACTCACCGAACCGCCAGAACCGGAAGTGGAAGATCCCGGCGTAGGACTCCGGTTTCTCCTCCTCCCACTCCTGGTCCTTCCAGTCAGGGATCACCTGAGAAGAAACAGAGAGAACATGTGGTCAACGTCTTGTCAAAGCTCAGGTTTTACAGTTTGGATCCAATTATATCCACTCCTGTACTTGATGAACACATGGTGGCTGGACTTGAGAAGACTGAGAGTAAAGAAGTAAATGACATAATTAAATCTAATATTTTGTTCAGATATTATGCCATAACAACAAAAGTTACATTACATCGCTTAGTGGGCAATTTTCCGCGAGAACGTCCTCAGACACCCAGTCTGTAACGCTGCAAATACAAGAGCTTTCATCAGAGGGCCATAGGCTCCATCGCCGTAGTGTAACCTCAGTCTGTGACAGATAGAGACTTAACAGAAATGTATTCAGAAAGAAAATCTTAGGGATTATTGTTTTATATTCACCTCAAGACATAATCACCTCTGTACATTTTATATTCGTTTGTTTCTGAAAAGTAAAAACCATCTGGCTTCCACTTGTTTCCCCTTAATCAACCCGAGGCTGTACACTTGCTAACAAGGGAGTGCCATCCACCCATATCCTGAGCTAAGATCCCTACTGACCACACACACACACACACACACACACACACACACACACACACACACACACACACACACACACACACACACACACACACACACACACACACACACACACACACACACACACACACACACACACACACACACACACACACACACACACACACACACACACACACACACACACACACACACACACCTCAGTTAAGTGAGTGATATAAATAAATAACTGGTCCACTGAGCTACGACAAGTTGAGCTCCCAGAAGCCCTCAGGAAACTCCCAGAGTTCCCTCTGGTACGTCATCAGCGCATCCTGTTGCCTAGCACCCCCACACATCACCCACCTCCGTAACACCTAAAAAAAAAGGCTAGGAAGCATTATCGTTTGATATGCAGACATTTCAAATCCGATCCACAGTATTCAAACTAAATGTATTCAACTGCAGCAGATACGTGACAGCATGGTTTGGAGTTTATACTATGGAAACATAGTAATATGCAGTTCTTACATGATAGCGCAAATGTTCATATGAAATGCATATTATAAACACATTAAGGAATAAAGTACATGTGTGCCTGTTTCTGCAGAGAGATGAGCAGTGCTGAACACTAACTGACCGTCTGTTTTTGCATTGATCCCATCTCCCAATGCACCCCCCCCCCTCCCCTCATGTCATGTTGCTAATCAATGCATTCTAACTAAACTTCCCCGAGGGCAAGAGGGGGTTAGTGAGGACAAACAGAGGAAGTGCCAATCTGTGGTGGAAAGAGTTGGAGGGGAGGAGAGACAGAGGAGACAGTGAGCCTATGAGGAGAGAGAGGAGAGGGAGTAAAGAGTGAAATCTGCTCCATCTCTCAAAGCATCCATCAGGACAGGCTGCTCTACACTTTCTTTAAGCCAGGATTAGAACTACAGGTAGGACATGGAAAACGCTACAGCCCCCTCCAACACCTTGGAGCTGGTGTTTAAAGAAGACACTGCACTGACAGAGGTGAGGCTCGCACTTTCAAATCACAACTTCTCAACTCCTGTGTTTTCTTATTTTACCTGATAAAACATATTGCTTAATGCACAAGGACTAAATCTAACATGGCAGGGTTTTATTTGCACATTCTAGGGTTCGTTAACATCACAGGAGAACCTTTGTAGCTTAGACTACTGATGATGTTAAACACGGATATATCGAAGAAATATATATAATGAGGAAAAAACTAAAGACACATAGTGAGGAGTGCATTACTTCCTTTGTTGTTGGTCGACTTTTCCAAGTTTGGTTTGTGGAGATTCATCCTACTTTTATCCAAAGTGTTCTCCCTGCTCTGCTCACTCTTCATAACCTCTGTCCAGAAAGTGTTCTATGATTTTCCTGTTCATTTGAATGTCCCAGTTGTGTTGATCAATAGAGGAGTTGAAACACTCACTACTCAAAACAATTGCAAATTCATTAACCAGTTTTCAGTCAATGCTGCTTCATAGCTTCACAATGTGAGGATTGCTTCACTTTCTACATCCCACTTCTCTGTACTTTGGATTTGTTTGTTTCATCAACAGAATGTTAGTTTGAAAGCATGGATTATCTAGCCCAATGTAAATATTCAGCCTTTTGCTGCTTTCTATTGATTTTTGTAGGTTTTGAACTGATAGAACGGGGGGGACAAATATAATATGTGTCATCAGGCTCTATGCAATTGTGATTGCCTTATTTATCAGGATATCTTTGTGGTGCACCTGGAAGCTGTCAAGGTAGCAATATAGTCCTGTACCTGAACTGACCACTATTCAAAAGATCTAAAAAGATCCAAAAAAATGTAATTTGCCAGAACTTCTACAACATGCTTCTTGGTTTGTTATTATGGTGTATAGTCTGTATAGTATTTCAAAGAGGAGTTCCAGGAGTTGAAGTCTGTGCTGTGAGCTTTGGCCTCGTCCTTCCCTCTCCACCTGGTAATATCATCTCTACCTGCTCTGCTCCTCCTCTAACCCCCCTGCAGATGATGCGTCTGCGGGTGTCCTCTCTGCAGCGCTCGGGGCAGAAGCGTCAGGATGGGGAGCGCCTGCTCCTCCCCCACGAGGCCGTGTACCGGCTGGACTTCCCCACCCAGGAGCTGCACTTCTCCCGCTGGTACTTCTCCCTCTCAGCCCACGGGCGGGTCACCATCACCGGTATCTCTCAGCATTGGACCCCCGACCTCACCCACCTGATGACCCGTCAACTGCTAGAACCCATCGGAACGTTTTGGAGAAACGCCAACGACCCGGAGGAAACCCCGCTCAAGTGGCTGGAGGCGGACATGCAGGAGTTCGGCGAAAGGATTGCTGAGCTGGCGAAGGTCAGGAAGGTCATGTACTTCCTGTTTGCTTTCAAGGATGGGGCAGAGGCTGCAAATCTAAACTGCTCGGTGGAGTTCACCCCGGAGGAATGACTGCAGTCTGTCAGTACCATCCTGTTAGTGCTGCATCGCAATACTTTGTTCAATATTTGACCCTAAGAGAAACAAATATATCATCTCACATACTCTCCCTCAAAATGTCTTTCTGATCTCTTCGTCTGCTGGTGTTCTGTCATTGTATAGTAACAAGATTGTAGTTCAAACATTTTTGTGCACAACTTAGGTTAGACTTAATACCTTACCACCTAACTACTTACAACATTTCAAGCACGTCAAACATATTTAGAAAAAAAGAAAAAGTATGAATGCACTTTATTTACAGGGAACTAATGCTACTTCAAAGAACAATGTATCTCTAAAATAAATTACACGTGAGCAGAAATAAGAGCATTCTTTCAATAAATTCTTAAATAACAAACGTATGAGGATACGCTCTATACATCCACTTGTTAATAAAACACGCCTTTCCTGATTGGCCACATGTTGTGATAATATGTTTGAGTTTACTGATTGGCTGAATATTGTAATAATGTGTTGAATATATAACTGTCTTTATATTTTCTTTCTGAATTCTCTCATGGCTTGCTGAACAGAACAAGTAGCAGTGAGTGGAATATCAAATATTCACATTGCATGTGACCGTCGGCCTGACACAAACTCAGATCAATGCGGTGACATCTATTAAACATTGACTGAAAGCTGTCCCTGTGTTCTCATTGGTGCTGACTGTTGTTGGTGGGACTTGCCAAAGCAGCAGGGGGAGGGGGGGGGGGGCAGTAATTCTACCCCTAAGTGTGCCAAAAATAAAATAAATAATGAGATATGGCTAGCCTGTAGGAAATACTTTTCAGGTCATTGAGCAGAGACGGAGCATGAACCTACTTCACACCAAAACTGTTGGCAATAGTGAACACAAGCAGCCTGAATCCAAAGGCGTATGTGTGCAATGAGAGAACAAATCAGGTAACAACACTCACACACTGCAAATATCTTGAGTAAACATTAAAGCATGCTTCTTGATGTGAAAAAAATGAAAGGATGTATTCACCGTAAATACAATCAACATTTCACTGTGTAAACTTGAAATATATTATAATAGATCAGTGTTGTTAACATCAATAAGTGTTAATCCTGACTGACCCCGTGTCCTGGGATCTAAATATCTGCTCATTTAGGAGCTCTACCATAACATTCCACATTCTCTCTCTGTTCTTTCTGTCTCCCTGTGTTTCAGTGGGAAGGACTGAGGGGAAACAGCATGCTGTTTTAAAGCTACAGTATATGCTGGTATGTTCCAAAAGTTCCCCTCTTGTTTCAGTCAAACTTTCCACCTTACTGAAGCCAAACACTGGCAGCACATGTTTCTACTGAGTAAGAGACAGAACTGCTCACAGACAGAAAGAGGACAGAGCCATCATTGTACATTTAGTTAACAATCATTCAATATCATTTATATATGTTTTGTCCAGTTCTTTTCAGGGTGCAGGAACTTACATATTACAAATATAATTGGAAATAAATTAAAACTTACAATCAATACAAATTCTAGCACTTGATTTTCAGCACAACAAGGGAAAAGATCATTCAGAAAATCAGTATACTGAATAAATCAGTTATTACCTATTATTAAATACACTTTGAACATGACTAAATAAGTGACTGTACTAATTATAGCTAATTATTGTAAGCAAAGAAATGTATTGTAACTAGAAGAAATACCTCTTCACATATTATGTATGTGTATTGTATTTGTATTTAAGCGTTAAAGTCATTCTGTTCTAATGGGGGTGACTTTTGGGCGTCTCCCCTCAGGACCAGATAAGGTTGTCACTCCTGTCGTCATACTGCCTCTGGAGTGAGTCTTATTAACACCAGAGGTTTATTTAGTGTTTGTTCCTGGATCATTGACGGGAGTCAGGACAACTGCTCCACTGAGGCAGAGACGCCTGAAACAGCATCACTTCCTTCAGCTGCTGCCCCCCCGAGAGGAGCACACACACACACACACACACACACACACACACACACACACACTTTAAACTAGATCAAATTCACTGCAATCGCTGCAACAAACAATTATTTTCATATTCCTATGTTTCTAATTGTTTTCTAGATTAATAAATAAATAGTCTCATCTGAAATAAATCTCAGTAAATAGTGACAAAAAGTCTATCCCGGTTTCAGAATATCCAAGAAGACGTCTGTGAAACATTTCTTCAACAAGAAATCGAACATCGTCTGTGATTATTTTGATACACTAATTGAATAGTTTGAAAAACCTGTCCAGCTCTACATCACTCCAATCCTCTGATTCCTTCATTGGTTCCCCCTGAAGGACAGAATAGATTTAAAGATGCTGCTAATCTCATGCTCTCCTTCTTCATATCAAACTCTTTCTCCCTCATAGCTGGGACACTCAGATCCACCAACCAAGGACTCTTCTTCCCCCCCTCTATTTGCAAAGCCAAGATGTGATGGTGGTGATCTTCATGTTGTGTCTGTCCTGAAGCACTGCACCTGTCAGAATGAAGGTTACTGGGGCCACCTTATGGATGGAGGCTGTTATTGTCTGGTTTATGCAAAGTCCTTTATCAGATGGATCTGTGCAAATTCCATTAGCTGGAAATGATTTTGATTTAAAATGATTTTAATCTGGTTTATAGTGTCTTTGTAAGGCAGCTGAAAAATAAGTTAAATAGTGGGACCCTGCTTCTTTCTCAGTTCATCATGCTATTACTGTATGTGTTAGCTCTGACATACATTGTTATTCAGAATTTGAATTCCAAAGCAGCGCTGTTATATAGAAATGTTATTTATTGGGATAAACCCCTTGAGATGCACCATCTCGTTTTCAAGGGGGTCCCGAACACATGTTGTTGTTACAACATATTTAACAGCATGTATGGTGGATAGTTATGGAGATTGTATACATTGTGTGTGTGTGCGTGTGCGTGTGTGCGTGTGTGTGTGTGTGTGTGTGCGTGCGTGTGTGTGTGTGTGCGTGTGTGCGTGTGTGTGTGTGTGTGTGTGTGTGTGTGTGCGCGTGTGCGTGTGCGTGTGTGTGTGTGTGTGTGCGTGTGTGTGTGTGTGTGTGTGTGTGTGTGTGTGTGTGTGTGTGCGTGTGTGTGTGTGTAATGGCAGCCCACTGCTCCTAACACTAGGATGGGTCAAATGCAGAGAAACCATGTCATTACATAATACCTGTACTGTGTAATGACAATAAAAGTGCAAAAAAAATAAACCACACCCAGTCACACAAAAGTGGCACCCAAATCCTTGCATGTACACATGCCCACACCCATCCTCACAACAACTCCCATTTATAGACACACCCACAAGCTGTGTGACATCCTGCCCCACCAGACGAGGCTCAGCAAGTTTCCCTAACAGATGTTTGGTATGAAGCAATAACATGAAATATGACCTAATCCATCAGGATGCTGTGTTTCTAGAGCTTATTGTTGTCTGTTTCTGTAGCCTTGTGTCTGCTTGTGATCTTTTTGATGGATTTTCATGTAAATATATTGTGTGTTGTGAGGTGAAAGATCATAAACAATGCAGAGCAGCAACAAAGAAAGATAGTGTGTGAGAGTGTGTGTTCCTCTACCTTCTGCCACAGAGCCTCTCTGGAGGCCAGGCTGGAGCAGGCGGCCACGAACCAGCAGTTTCCCAGCTGCCCCTGGTGCAGGTCGTGAGCACTGATGCCGTCCACAAACAGGCGGGGGTCGCTGCATAACTCCTGGAAGGAAGATGAATGTTAACCTTAACTTCTTCTGGTAGATAAATTGTTTGACTTTGTTCCCCCGACTTGAATTTAACTTCAATCCTTTTAATTATGGGTCATTAACACCTGGTCTGTAACATCTAGGGGGGCCTCAAGCCTACTGCAGGGGGGCCAACAAATTATTGTAAATACTGCAGACTCATTTTAATATAACACATATACACATGACATTACATTGCATTTAGCTGATGCTTTTATCCAAAGCGACAATAAGTGCATTCGACCAACAAGATACAAACTAGAAGAAAACAGAATCATATAAGTACATCAGGTTTCATAGAGCCAAAACATTTCAAGTGCTACTCAACTGGCTTTAGATAAACCAGTACTTTGTTAGTATATAAGTGCTACACAGTGATACACATCATACATGCAGTGGGCCCTGCTTTTTCAGCTAAAGAAGACCCCTCCTTTTATTGTTTTGAGAATTGATATGTGCAATGAATGGTTTTGCCAACATTTATCAAAACCCAGAGAGCACTCAACACTTCAGCTGCATTTGGAAATATAAGCCAAAACTAAACAAACTAATCCCCTCAGAAGTACCTTGACTCTGAAATGAATCGGATGCGCTGTCCTACCTACTAGAAAGTTCTCATCTCAAACGAGTGATATAACAAGGGGGCTGAGTAAGCTGCACAGATATACCTACAGAGTGGACATATTTATCATGGCCTTAAACTCAGCTTATCTGACTGTTGAACGACATATCAATACATGACAAATATGTCCCTACCAGAGAAGGTGTAACAAGGCCAGTGATGAGATCATATATATCAATATTTCAAAAGGCAGTAATTAAACATTATCTTAACAGTAGCCTGTTAGAAGGAAAAGCGCTAACGCTGAGTCATCACCGCAGCGGCCCGGGACTCGAGTCATAGGTGTGTTCCTGTAGCTGAACAAATAGCTGTGTTTTCTGGCACTGAAAGGAGGTTATGAACTGGCAGATTGTCTCTCTAGTGTCAGAGCTGAAGGCAGAGACAGATCCTGACACACTGCAGGCTCAGGTGCTGACAAGAAAAGAGATGAGATATAGGAGGACAGAAAAAGGTCCTGGCAGCCAAGAGAAACAGAACATGTGGTCACTGATGGACAGGTGGGGCTGAGGTGCAACTATGATATAAAACATCCATTGTCACAAGGAACCTTTACTTTCAAAGTTCTACTCTGTTTAGTCGTGTTTCAAAGAGCTAAAGGATTCCTCCAATATGTATCAACCTGAGGGACAGTGACTGACCCTCCCTCACACACACACCATATCTGAAGATGTCAAAGTTCACTTGATAAGTCTTTATAAGAATTCTCCCTCTCCTATGTGACTTTGTGGAGTCTCTGGTGAACCTACAGCTGCTGCACAGGAGGAACCAGGATCACAGAGATGCTGGAACTGAAATGTGGAGCAGGGCGTTAGCCGGAGCACTTGACCAGCACAAGGTAAAGACAGGGAGGATATAGACCCTCTGATTAAGTAGAAAGGACTTCTGAATGTGGAAGGCAAACAAACCACAACACGTACATGTATGAGAGGCAGAGCAGCCAAATGATAGGACAGAGATGAACCAGTGTACACACCCAGCAGCACCGCTAACATGTGGTGATGTGACAAACTGACCAATGGATGTACAGAATCTAGTGCCCCAGGATTGTTTAATAATATGTATATGTTATTGTCAATATTGTAATTATATATTGACGGTGATGTTTTATAGTGGTTATAGTTATACTTTTTTCTACCAGTAAATGTCTGCACTTCACTATCCGACGTGTTTATGATGCGCCAGCGGAGGTCATAAATGTGCGCCTGCTGCTGTGGGGAAACTATGGAAACTACAGTTTTCTATACAGCGGACTACAACATGGATGTTTAATAAGAACGAGGGACTACTGTAAACTCATCTAGAGACTCTGCACCGTGCTCTGATGCTGTTGCTTTATGCTTTATGAACGGGGACAACAGAGAAACATATTCTTCATGACCAAAGTTGGAATTGAAATAAAAAAGGAAAGTGAAACTTATGCTCGTCTCCCTCTCCCTCCGGTCCACATTAATACAAATGATCCCAATACGTATGATTGTATGAAAAGATCTTAAAATCAATACAAATGTATTTATTATAAACGTTAGTCCTTAACATCTATCACTGTGTATATCACCATTCAAACATCTTTTAAAAGTTGAACAAACCCCACACAGCTCAGTAAAGACTGTGAAATGTTGACTTTATTTGATCATTTCAGTAAAAACTAACGTTCATATTTCTCTTTTTGATTATAATACTGATGAACGTTCAAAACAAAGCACTTTGGCAACTTACCACATACGTTTTAAAAAGCTTAATAAGCACCGTAACTTTCATGATATCATTTCTCGTTCATAATCGGTTGTTTCCGTGAACGGCCGACTGTTGTGTGACGGCAAGGCAAATGCCGCGGCCGCAAGGCATTGTGGGGCAGCATTTTCTCCTCTCCTTTAGGTTAGGGAGGTCCAGTGGTTCCTAAGCTAAAGGAGGTTATAAAGGAAGTTTGAAACCTCCTTTCCTTTCATTTAGAGAATTGGAACGGCACTTATCATGGCTGCCACTGAGGGACTTCCGGGTCATTTCACTCCGTTAGGAAGGTTCTTAAGCAAATGGACTATTCGACCGCAACCTTGGTGTGAAAGCGCCTAAGGTTGTAACCTCAGCCATTTGATGTAAATATGATCCCATGTGCTCTTTATTTTGCTTAACATTTTTAAAATAGCTGTGGTGCATATACAGTCCTCTTATGTGGTCCTGTCCTTAAATTGTAACCTTTAAGGGTCTGTTTGAAGCAAGTCTTCTGGATAGATAAACCTCTAAATCCATATAATTTGTTCTAGGATTAGACTTTAATTATGAACGCAGACACATTTTTGAAATCATTCGTATGCTGCCCATCTTAAAATATTACAAAAATGCTGGAGGAAGACCTCGCTGAAATGTTTGCATAGTTGAACAAAGACAATGTCCATGAAAGAGGAATGGTTCAGTTTTATACCAGAATAAGTACACACATTAACGCAAAGTTGACTTTTCCTGCTTCTCCTTTTTTTTTGTTCCGTTAGCTGTTATTATTCCGTGGTTTTTGGTATGTTTTGTCTTGAGTGCAGTTCTTGTTACTGTATCATGACTGTTTAGAATTTTTAATATTGAACATGAACATGAACCTCAAAACATGCGCAAAACATGTTTATTTGACGTGTTCATACAACTAAAATAACACTGACCGCTGTAATAGATCAACTACAAATCTGTCTTATAACAGATCTATTGCTGCACATTAATAATAATAATATTAATACATTTTATTTGGGGGGCGCCTTTCATAGCACCTGTTAGCAGAGTAAGCATAACTTCATTGCTGTTTAGCATCCAAATAAGCGGAGGAGTAACGAAACATCAGAGACAGTGGCATTTCATTCAACGGGCCCTCCCATTGGAGGCGTGGCTTTATTTATACCCATCATTGACCTTTAACCTGTTACGCTATTGGCTTCCAGTCATGCACAACAAATAACACAAATTGGTAACATATTTACCTGAATGTTAACACCCCCACTTGATAACACATTTGTGGTCTTTTAACAAATAAAAACATTATAAGGTTCTCTACCTTACAGAAATTGTTACTCACCAAACATAAACTTTGCAAACTTAATCAACTTAAACTTTGGTGCAGGTTTTGTCATAACATCTGCCACCATCTGGTCTGTTGGACAATAAATCAGATTTGTTTTTCTTCTGTGACATCTTTACACATGAATCAGTTTGATCAAAATCAATGCCAAGGAAATGTTTTAGTTTCCCCAAGTCCTTCATCCTGAATTTAGCTGTGAGCATCTCTTTAACAACTTTCAATGCATTGTTATCACTAGCTGCAATGATTATATCATCAACCCATATTATCATTATCACTTTCCAGTTTTCAGTTTCTTTTGTGTAAACACAATGGTCAGCAGGGTTCTGTAGGAACTCATTTTCACTCAGATACTCATGTAGCATTTTGTTCCAATTTCTACCTGACTGTTTAAGCCCATATAATGACTTTTCTAGCTTGTACACCAACTTTTCACCTTTACTAGATTTGACCTCAAAACCCTCTGGCTGGTCCATGTATATCTCACAGTCTATTGGTGCATGTAGGTAAGCAGTTTTAACATCCATTTGGTGTAAAATCTGATTTTCCTGTGCTGCTTTTTGCATTAACACTCTGATACTGGTGAGGTTAGCGGTAGGTGAAAATGTCTCATCATAGTTTTCACCCCTCTTCTGACTGTATCCCTTGGCTCCATATCGTGCCTTGTATCTTTCGGATCCATCAACATTGGTTTTGATATCGTACACCCATTTACCCCCCACTGCTTTCTCATCTTGAGGTAAGTTGGTCAGGATAAATGTGTCATTCTCTTTTAGTGATTGCATTTCTTCATCCATTGCAATAACCCATTGTTTTGACTCAGATGAAGTTACAGCCTCCCTAAATGTTAAAGGGATATTGCACATTAATCTGTAACAATAGTCAATATTTGTCAGTAGCTGATCCTCACTCTCCTTACCACATACACTGTCACATAAGTAAGCTGGCTTCTTCCTCACTCTTGAAGGATAACGCCTAAGCTCACTCTTGTCTTCTGTCTCTGTTACAACAGGTATAGATACTGGACTTACGTTAGTATCACGTTTGTTTTTGCCAGATTTGTTCTGTACCTCAAAATCATCATCAGAGACGGTTTCTGTTTGTGTTTCTCTTTCTGAATTGGTCTTGGTCACAAACTTCACAAGTCTAGATTTTTGCACTTTTCCACTGTGAGGGAAATATACCATGTAGGCTGGACTATTTTTGTCATATCCAACAAAAATTCCCTCTTCACACCTTGAGTCCAGTTTCTTTTTGTCTTGCTTATAAGCATAGCACACTGACCCAAACTTGTG